TTCCTGGTTGTCTTCCCATCCTGGAGTTACATTTATCCTCTCTACTTACCAAGCTCTCAACTCCTCCTAGCCTTCCTCTGCACTCCAAACAATCCTCATTTTTGCTGTGTCTATACACACTGCTCCCCTGGTTACACTGCCCGACTGCAGCAATTTCTGTAGCAGGTTTAGGAACCAAAAGTCTCAAAACCCTTGAAGTACAGAACTTAGCATGGTCCCTCAAGGAACTGGATAACAGCAGCCCCACATCCTCTGCAAGATCAGCAATCTGCCTTTAAGGAAAGGTTGCCCAGTCTATGCACCAGCAAATACCCATATAAGACTCAGTTAGAATTATCATTAAAAGATTATGTAGCAAAGGGAAAGAGAATGAACAACTTACTTGAGTCGCAGAGGAGAAGTCAGGAAGAGCTGCTGGAGGAGAGGCGAGCAGCGCGTGCTTTTATGCTGCTTCTCAGGTAGCCAGGAGGATCTGAGGCATCTTTTGTGTATGAGGTTTGATCAGATTCAAAACAGAAGCAATTACACCTCATAGTATGTAATCATTTTACTCACTGTTGGCATCTATTAGGCAATTCCCAGCTTACCTTTACGCCTTTCTACGTCATCCTACTATAAACGTCTTGATCCCATACAGATTCACCAGATATCAGCCTCTCTGAAACAAGTCCCAGGTTTTAGCCCTCCATAGCATTGCAAAGTACCTCAGTTGGGATGAAACTGGCTGAGAATTGTACGATATCTTATAAATTCTTAAAATTTGTTGTAAAATCCATTTGGAGTTGAGGAATGGACTGTATTATCCTTGAAGCTCCAAGGTGCAAGAGACTTCTAATACCTGCAAACAGACACTAAGGAAATAATGAATTATAGTGATAATATCCACTATCACACATCACGGACCACACAGCCAGGTGCCTGATACTGCTTAGGACAGAGAAGTAAGCAAAAATCAGGGAACATAGGAAGATCCTGATTCATTCCCACTCAAAATCAACAGAGGGAGTGGATTGATACCAGGAAGTATCTGGTCATTGAAGTCTTGAAAGGAGCTGAAACATGAGGTGCACAGTTGCACAACAACATGATGAAGAAGGGAACATCATAGTAATTACGATAAGTCAGGAAAAAATTTGCATCATCCAGGCAAGTTGCACATGCTACAAATATTGGTTGGTTAAGCAGCGTGACCTCATGGACGATGTTGTTTCTTATTCACGAGTTCTTTTGAAAGTGGAAAAATGGTGCTGACCTGTCAGACTTCTTCTGGGCACTCCTTATGATATATGTCAGCATGGTTGAGGTGATAGAAAATGTTCTACTGAAGGCTGATTTCTTCAAATGAGGCTGCAGCTTGCAATTTTGTTGTGGCCAGTTAGCATAGCTATGATATGATTAGCTAAGCTCAGCTCTGCCAGTTCATGCACTATAGCTTGTATAAAGCTGGGCATTTTCCTGCATAAACCCAGCTCTCAGAGACGTTGACAGGAGAGGAAATCAGTAATCCCCATCTTACTTACCGTCTGAGGATGCATTTTTTTCTTTGTTCAGGGAAAAAACGCTCTTGTGTGAGCTTGTCATGGCAAGGACTGAATAGAGAGCCTTTCCCTTTGGGAGGAACACTGAAGGGTACATGTTGCTCTTTACTACGGGTATGCCTCTGTCAGATTTTCTTCTGGAACTTCAAGTTCTCAAATACACCAAATATATAGTACTTGTATAACATCCATGTGAAGTGTTTAGGATCCATAGCAAGGCCTGGGATCACCTTCAAAGACTTTATTAGGTACTACTCATCAAGGATTATTTCAGCATCAGTGAGCTGCAGATTAGAAACCAAATTAATAGAAGAAGAAAACTTGATATCGTGCAGCAGAAAGGATTTTATTGAGAATGACAAATAGGATTTATCAGAGCACAGAAATACTGCAGGGAACAACGCAGAGGGATTGAGTTAAATTTACATTTTAGCAAAGGAAAAAGGGATCAAGTAGAGCGCAAGGAGATCTTGAGCAGAGATCTCATGCAAAGGGGGGCTGGCATTTACGCTTGCTCCTCGGGATGGCTGAATGTGCAGCCAGCTCTTGGCAATGCCGTCTGATAGCTGCACCTCTATGCTTGCTCAGAAGCTGTGGATTTGCTCCTGTTCCTGTTCTTGCCAGGTCTTGGTGGGCGGTGGAGGTGGTGGAGTGATGCAGGGCTTCAGAGGGCGGAATGCTGCCCGGCGGGTGTAGCAGGGGTAGGAGTAGCGGCCGGCTGCAGCAGGACCCACCAAGCTCTGGGCCTCCAGGTAGCTCCCATGGCCAAAGGAGCTGCCCAGCTCCAGCGGGGCTGAGGTGCCCACAATGCTCTCCTGAGGGCAGGAGCTGAGGATGGGGCCTGGGAAGGTGATGACCACAGGTGGAGGGTAGACAATGGCACGGGAGTCCCCGCAGGAGGTGATGCAGGGCTGGCTGCAGGCATCGGCATAGGGCTGTGGGCAGGTCACCTCACAGGGCAGCAAGGGACGGCCGTAGTCACAGGGCTGCCTATTGAAAGCCATCGTAGGGATGGAAATGGGCCTGGAAGACAGAGAGAAGCAGGGGTCTGGTCAAGGGCTACAGTGCAGTGCAGCCCTCGTTTACCCAAAGCCATCACAGTGAAGGAACACATGCTGAGAGCGAATGCTACAAGGAGATTGTTTATAGTGAAAGGTCAGAAAGATGAAATACATTTTACTCTATTTCCCATTACTTTGTTCCACATTTCTAAGTAACACAGCAGTCTCTACCTGAATGGAAATGGAAATGACATTTTTCATGTTAATCTCCCCCATCCCACAAAAAGTATTACTTACTTGGTCCAACAGCAGATGCAAAACCAGGAGAACCAAAGTGGCTTGAAGGCTCTGGGCTGCAGGGACTTTTATATGGTCCCTACTTTGCATTCATGTCATCAGTTGTCCTTACCCCTTCAGTTACCAAATACACCATTTGCACATGTCAGTCAAGGTAATTGATTTGTGCATTGTTTCTCTTAACTGAACAACTCCACCCTACATGGAATTATATCCATGTTATTGTCTACAGATGTCTTATATGTCAAAGTGGCAGAGGCCGTCTTTGTCTTTACTGTAACTATTGAATTTGTTGGAAACAAAGGAAAAATTAGATTTGCTTTGTTACGAAGATTCAAAGTAACTTTTCACAATTTGTTGCTGCATTTTATCTGTATATGCATTGGCCATATATTGGTGCTTGAGTGTATTTTGTGGTATTACAAATACTAGGTCAAAGCTGGCAATGAAGGTCCCAGATTTCTGCCTGAAGCCACAATAGTCTGTCTGATCCTTTAATTACTATTTCCTATTTCCATTCAAACAAAGAAAATCTGCACTTTGGAGCAACACTTGCAAATCCTTCCTTTGGAATTCAAAGTCTATCCTTAGCATAGGACTGTTAGCTGGAAATCGCAGTAAAGGGAAATACTTTTCCACTACCCAGAACAGAGCACTGCAAAACAGACTACAAAGCTGTGGCTTATTTAGTATCATTGGTCTTAAATTGTCTATGAAACACGGAAACTCACGCCCAGCTCTCAGCTGATGTAACTGAACTTGGAATCGAGGTAAAAGTATTGTCATATTGATCAGCCCTTGGCTTAGGGAATATCTTTTAATAACCTTAAAGATTCCATACATCAACATGCATTGCTTAATGTATTTTGAAGCTGAAAGGCAGAAATAGGACTTGATGTCAGCAGGTTGTGTTAGCCATCACATCCCTGCCCCAGAAGTTCTGTCAGTTACGTTGGACAGTATCAACTGCATAGCCTTAAGTTCCTCTAAAGGGGATTTTCTTTTGTGTTGTGTAGACAGTAATTGTTCTTCCTGTTGCCTTGGAGATAGGCTGTCAGTGCCTTGTAGCTGGACTATCTCCTCTTTTGTATCTTGTGACAGAAAATAAAAGAGGAGCTGGTGTGTTCAGGTTCTCCTCCCAGCTTTACCTCTGAACCAACAAGTGTGTCTGAGCACACTGTTTAGCCTGTCTTTTAGTAATTCTATCAAAAAAATCAATAAAATAAGTCCAATTCACTCAACTGGCTTCATATATGCTCTTCATTTTGAAAGGAGATAGGTCACTACCAGCTCAGGCTTCTGCCTAGAACACACCTACCCTCCTAGAGATGTCCAGCCTGTAAGGCAAGGCTAGAACCAGAAAATGCAGGTTTGGTTTTTCCCTTACCCCACTGCTGTGCTCACTCTGGCAACCAGAACTGCAGCTTTGCCTCCCCACTCCTCAGCCCAGCACCTCCTCAGTGTTGCAGCAGTAAGGTATGTATATATACCTACACAGAATACACCTTATAGCAGACACAGCTGTTCCTATAGGGAACTATCCACACTGTACATAAAGAAAGAAACTGTAGGCATCCTTCACCACCCTTCACTATTCTACCATCCTTTTGAGAATCCACCCCAACTCAGATGATTGTTGGTGTTGTGTTGGCAAATGTGACCACGAGCCACCTGACTTACTGAGGATTACATTCCAGAGGACCAAGGATTTCATCCACAGGACCAAGGAGGTATTGCAAGGCTTGGAGAATCCAGCATAAGGTCCATAAAACTCATTCAAACTAAACTGTTTTCACATTGGCATAATCTAGGTGCACATCACAGCCATTTTTTTCTTTCTGATTTCTCCTGCCTTCAAGTCAGTCTTTCCCTTTTGCAGTTTTGTACTATATTAAATATTTTGCCCAGCAGGTATAATACTGCTCTGGGCAAGTCTGTGTAACAGCCTACATGAAATGGGAAATTACTGCTGATGATTTCTAGAGGGGACGATTAAGACAGAGGCCAAATAATTTACCAACAGATCTTGGCAATTAAGTGAGACTTTGGGAGGAGATCTCAGGCATGTCTTGTACTTGTTAGCATTATTATTTATAATCACCAGTCTATTATCTGGCAGTTTATGTAAATGAGGTTGGCAGCCAGATAGAGAGTTGAGACAGTCAGTGCTCTCAGGAAGCAGTAACAAAGCCAACTAGTTCTAGGTATGAGAGGAAGGAATTCTATTGCCTCACTGCACTGGAAAGGCTCAGACAGAGGGTGGGCTGCCCTCATCCCTGCACACACATCTTAAAAATCTCTCCCCAGATTCATGAGGAATCTGTTGTAGATTGCTATGCATTAATTTGGTCATCTTTGCCTTGTCTTGGGTTTAGACCTGATACATTTACTGTGTTGCAGTTGCCATAGCAGGTTCAGGTAATGTCTTTATCTTTGATAAGCAACAAAGACAAGAAAGCACTTCTATCCCACCCTATACAGCCAAACAAGCACAGATTACAGCTCACACTAGGGCAGGGACATGGTTCCTATCAAAAACTAGTCATCATGTGTAATCAAATTCAGCTCTCCAATAGGTAAACACGGTGAGTAAAGTTTTTGCCCTATAAAGCTTTTAGAACCAGTACATTTCCTGGGAAAACTCCTGCATAGAGCTGGCCCCAAAGAGCAGAAAGCAGTGCTTTGAAGTGTTCAGTGGGTATGACTGAAAGGCAATCCCTTGCTCTTAAGAGATTCTCTTTTTTTTTAGCTAAAACTGAAGGTCCAAAGCTCTTCTTTCCAAAGAAACAGAATATTTCTGGCTGGAACGAAACTGCTTTTGGTAATTACTAAAGACTTACAACGTGATCTGGCAGAGAAATCAAGGAGCTTGGAAGGAAGAGAAATACTTTCATCAAGACAGAAGTAAGGGGAGGAAAACTGAGGTGGAACAAACATCAGGTCAGTGCTGTGCAGTTTGGCTTTTAATGGATGTGATAAACAGAATTAACACTTGTAATAACAAAGGGGATGAAAAACAGGCACTTCAGGAGTTTCAAGTACTAAAAGCAAAGTTTGTGATACAAGGGCATGCATTTGATATAAGTAATCCTACGTTCCTTATTATAGCTGTATAATTGCAGTTATATGTTCTATTTTGACTCTTTTACAATGTAATCATTTTAGAGATTAAGACTTATGAGGTTTCCATTATTATTCTATTATTTTATGGAAGACCACAAAACAACATACAATTTTCCAGGACACATTAAGTTAACCTGAAGGGCATTGAGGGCACCCCAGAAAACGCTTGCAGTACACAAGATTCACCCCCACAGCTGAACATCCATCCCATCCCCAAGAAGAGTGGGATAAATGCTGAGATGGGAAGACAAACAGAAAGTACCAAAAGCTTGGAGTGTTAAATGGAAAAGATGCTTATAGGCTGTGCACATGTTATACACTTTACCCACCTCCACCTATAAGAATGTTTTTCAGATACGTCTGAGAGCACCCAGCTTCTGCTGGCTCCATTCAGAGTAGACAGATCCGAGCACTGCTCAGGCTCAAACCAATTTCCTATTCATGATTTTCTGCTGTGTTTTCCATACCCTGGTTGCTCACTGCAGTGAACTTCCCTGATGTTTTTAGCACGGTCCTGAGCCAGCTCTGCTGGAAGTGCTGTAAGAGAACGCGCTACAAAACCCTCTTCCCAGCGGTGGGCATGCAGAACTGTAAGACCTGTTGTAATTGCATGCACTCCCAGAACCATACCCTTCCCCCAAAAGAAGGGAGCCCCTTAAACCAACAGGATTTCCATAGCTCCTGTAACCAAAGCAATCCCCAGGACCAAAGGGGACACCAATGCCCAGTGGTCCAGTGCTACACACAATGCTTTCCTGTGGGCAGGAGCAGAGAATTGGCCCAGGGAAAGTTAGGACCACAGGTGGTGGGTATATGATGGCTCTGGAGTCATTGCAGGATGTCACACACAGCTCATTGCAGGCTCTGGCCAAGAGAGGAGGGCAGGTGACATCACATGGGCTGCTGCATGGTATGCACACATCTCCGCAGTACGGCATCGCTCTGTAAAGTTGGCAAGCCTGAAACATAAGGGGAAGAGCAGAATGACACCTTATCCTCTGTCAGATGTGCACAGCTCCCCGCAATGAAGGATGTCACATGCCAGCCCATGTCCACACCAGGGATGAAGGCTGCACAAACAGACTTCCAGTGCACAGAGGCTTCGAGAGCTGAGTGCTTTGCTACAGCATGTGGATTTCTGTAAACAGCCAGACTGAAAACAAACAGAACGTTTCATCCCCATTCCAAACTAGACCTGATTCTTCCCATTTATAAATACCATTAGAATTTCTGGCTACTTCAGTGCTCAAAAGAACTTTAGCTTGGAGCACAACTGTCTGAGGTTTCTGTGGTCACACCTAGAACCAATGCAGAAGCAGAATCCTGCCCACAGCAGCTCTCCAGCCCAAAGCCCAGTAGTTTCTAGGTGAATTTCAGTGCCCCTCAGGGTACTGCCCATAGTGCATCCTCTTGGCACAAGGAGGACATTAAATACAGAATAGTGAGCTTTTCCAGAAGTGTTCACAGTCAAGGGGGTCATTACAGAAAATACCAGCTCAAATACAATGGTAAATGACACCAGGCAGGGCCTGAAGCTAAAAGTTGCTGGAGTGTTCAATTATGGAGTTACTTTTCAGGACAAAATTGTGCCTTACCCTGAAAGCTAAAGATTTTTATGCATTTCCACTCACCTAGACCTTAAATACACACAGGAAATAGGAATCTGTGAATACATGGAAAGAGAAGAATGGTTAAATGGTTAAATCTTCAATAGCAGCATGTGAGATAATAAACATGTGATAAGAATTCAGCTAACCACCATCACGCCAACTTCCAGTATCTGTGAGAATTTCAATCCTGCATTCACAATAGAAAGCCTCTAAATACACGCAGGACTCAAACCCAGATCTGTCAGACCACACAGCAGATTGCTTCCATCAGAGACCTGGTTATAGGTAGCAGCTCTGAGAGCCTCAAAGCTCTGAACCAAAACCAAAAGTAAAGATAGAGCAGTCAAAAGAATAAACCCAGGCTTACTTGATGCACTGAAGAAAGAAAGCTGGAAGAAACAAGTAAACAGCTTTCAGCTGCAAATGCTTTTATACTTCCTCCAGCTGCTTGCCGGCTAGGAGACCTATTTGTCGGTGATTATCTTATTTACTTGCAAATCAGATGTTGTTGTGAGGATCGTTCCTTCAACTGCTGTGATTATTTTGCTTATGGTTAATTGTTAAACAGTTCTGAACCCCAAGTAGTGCGACACCCAACTGAGAAATGGCTGAGGTTTCTTTATGGTCGCTAGTTATAGCTGAAAAGTTTCTTTACAAAGTAAGTGTGCGCAGTTTCTCGTTAGATTTTGAAAAGCTTGGCTTGAAATCCAAATCCTCCATCTGGAAGCAGAGCTAGACAATGAATATATCTATTGCTTCTCCACTTCCATGGAGAGTTATAACTTCTTTACACAGGGAAATAATAAAGCTACCACTGAAGAAGTAGGGATTTTATCATTTGTATTATATATTTTAATTAGGAGAACTGCAAGGACAGCTTTCTATCTTTTTTTAAACAATACAAGTCCACATATTGTGAAAAGTAATCCTCCCCTTTTTTTTTTTTCCTTTTCAATTTGCATCTTGTAAAGACCAGAAGTCTCCAAAATCTATCTACTCAACTTCAGCATAACATGACCAAAATCTGTCTTTCGTGGCAAAGAAAATAACTTGGACCTGCAGAGATATGAAGGGTCTGCTTAGGGAGATAAGATCTTGTTTTAAAGTGAAACTATTACTCATTACCAACACTTAAAACTGCAGTAACATGCCATTAATTTTATCATAACAGAGTACTGTATCTACGCCATGTTAATCACGCAGAGGTACTTTGAAGTCCTTTATTCTGTGGAAAAATTAGAACAACCCAGATAAACATTGCCTAGAGCTTCCTCATAACCATCCCACATAGTTCAACTGTAATCTATGCTATAAAGAACAAGGCTTAAATTGTCGAGGGTGTAAACAAGCACAAGAGAGGAATGAATTGAAGAAAGGCATATTTATGCTGCTCAGCCTACATGGGAGGCACCCTCCCTTTTATCTTGCTGAACTGAATGGCAAGATGCCTACTCAGAAGGCTGCATTTTGCCATTCAGCCTTGTCCATAGGTCCAATTATAGCTTTATAACACAGAATGTTATCCAATGAAATGTCTCTCCCAAGACCTTGATAATCACAGTTATTGCAAGCAAAGCCTCTATGAGTGTCTGTCATTTTGCAGACAGGGATTTTGCTATCACCTTTCATCCCTGTCCTTTGGTATCTCAAAGCGATGCTACCTTCAGCCAAACTCAAAGCAGCTGAGGATGGGGAGCCACCATGCACCGTGCTAGGAATGTTACCATCAACACTACAACAACTACCTGCAGCATGGAGCCATAATGATAAATCAGTAAAAATAATGCACAAGCATGACTGAGTTCCTGGGGGAAGATGTTAGACTGGTTTTTGACATAGCTGACAGCTGACACCCTTTTTTGGGAATCAGTAGAAAATTCCAGATTGGAACATTAGGACATGTAGATTTGTGTAGTTTTTAAATTTCACCAATTGTTTGATGCTAAAGCTATAGTGGAAACCCTCAAGGGACAGATACTACACAAAGTCAAGCCATGAAACTTGAAGAATTTGCCATATAAGCCTAAATTATTAGCAAAAATAGCAGTGGACAAATTTAGAGAGATGGTGGTATAACGTTAGTTAGATTTACCAGTAGGTGCTAATAAGTGTTAGAATAGTAATGACTTTAAGTAAAAATGCTCATGCTAATTGCTTTAAAGCTGACCTTAACACCATTGGCTTTACTGACATTGTCACTCAGCAGTCCTGTTCGTGCCAGTCAACACCAGGCTCTAGCATTTGTGAGTCAGCAGCGAAAACAAATGAACAATTTATAGCATAAAACACAACTTCAGTGGTGAGTTTTCTGGTTGAGTTCGGAGCTCTTGTAACTTTCACGATGGTTTGTTGACCAGGAAAAACTGAGGCTGTTATTTTAATGGGGAATATGTGTTATTTTGTCAAGTCAGACCAAGCCAGCTCCTCCTCCCTGAGCACGGCATGCATTGGGAAAGATGGAGTGAAGCACAGTGACTGGAAGTGCCTTGGGATGTCCACAGTTCAGGTTAGATGTTGTAAGTCTGTTCAGAATCAAAAGCTTCTAAAGAAATCCTATGAGCCAGAAGTGTTGAACTGTATACCAACACATGTTTTGGAGTACTATCTTCAAACACCCATCAATTAGACACAATTAGAGTCACCACCAAGATGAATCCCAATCTGTCATTGTTGGAATCCTTTGCCTGTGACCATCTCACAGGTCCTTCCCATTCCTCACCCTATTCCCAGGAAGCAAAATAGGCTACGCAGTACAGCATCAGTGACACTATGCCATCAAAGTAGTGAACATTTTTGCACAACCCTCCTCTAAATGCTACAGAAAGGGATATGCAACATCAGAGCACCCTCCAGGCAGCAGCTGTGTGCAATTGAGTGTCACCACGCAAGCGTGGGCTCCCTGCCATAGACATTCTCTTGACTGTGTGCAGGAGTGAGGGCTGTGTATTTAAAAAGAAAAAAAAAAAAAAGAAAGAAACGTAAAGTAAAAAAGCTTTAATTTACCCAATGTACTGAAATAATACAGTGTTGTGTTTTAGACAGGAACAATTACTCAACATTGGGGAATCTCACTCCAGCAATTACTGGGATGCTAATAACCCTGCGCGGCACTGGGGTCAGAGAGCTGAATTCAATGTCTCCTGAAGCACCTGTTCTGAACAAGCCCAAGACTTTCCCAGGCTGTTGTTCCAGGGATCTCCACAGTGATTCAACATAATCTAGAGATCATTTCGAAACACTGGCAGCAAGTTCGTCAACAGAGAAAGAAAAAACATGAGTAGATTAAGCACAGAAACACAGATACGATGAGGAGTGATGAATAAACCCAGGGCACAGAGCTGTGTCCTGAGCTATTCCAATAAAGTGTAGCCATCATCAGTAAGAACTAAGACAACAGCCTGGGTTTTCTGCATTAAATACACCATGCCTTCTTCTCTGAACACAAATAAGCTTTGGTCTGAATATATATGATATGTGGTCGGCTGTTACTTTGGATGGTACTGAGCTTCAGATAAGCATATGTGAAATATTGTGAAACCAGGTCTCTCTTGCTCTTTCTCATTTGGCATAAATCTATTCCTTATGCCACTTAGAATCTGGTGATTTATTTTTGTAGGCTGCCATGGAAGTGCTACAGGAAGGGAATAGGAACTTGCTTGGGAGGATCTACCTTCTACACACTACCTTTGCAAACTAAGATCTTTTAGTTCACTTGCATGTTTTACTGACTCAATTTTGGAAACGAAATATTGCCTGGAAGACTTGCAGGGCTGACTCATGTGCAAAGATTAAATCTTGATGAAGGATATGGCATTGTGAGCACAATGTGTGATGAAACATTCCTTACTGTTCTGAAAATGCTGCTTGCTCATAATGCAATAATTGCTGACACTTGTCAATCTCATATTACCTTTGGTATTGTGTTTTATCAAAGTAGTTCTAAAGAATAACCATAAACACAGGTAGCGAAGGGCACTATGTAGGGGTAAGTAACTCTTAAGAGTAGCAACACGAAGATGAAGGCTTCTGAACTCTCCCCATGGGGTTTTGTGCCACACAAAAATCCAGGGGACCCAAACTTTCCAGGGATTTTATTTAATAAGCTGTTCTGAAAGTTTACCACATTCTGAGCAGTTCTTCCTCACTTGTAAATGTGAACCAAAAAGTCTTCCCAAACATGTTTCTTTCTTTCCTAGTCTAGCAGCTTTTCCCTGCTAGCATGGCCAAATCACTCTTCTGCTTCATTTATATCTGCAACCAAACACCAGAACTCAGCTGTCCTGTTTGGGAAATACTGTCATTTCTGTTAGATGTGTCAAAAGATAGCAACAGCTGAGTCTGATCCAAGCTTCTCCATGGAAGTGTCATTTAGCTTTAAGGCAGCAAATACAATTTTCTGTGAAAAGTGACATCATAATAACCCACATTCAACAAAACATCAGCAACAGCATAAAATGGTGAAAAGCAAAGCAGCAGAGAAAGTGACACTTGGAGTTCTCTCACAGGGTAAACAGAATAAGAGGTCAAAGCAAGGGGCTGGCACAGGCTTTCATCAGGTTTATTTTTTACAAAGAGGCAACCATGAAGCTCTGCAGAGGCTGTGGTGTAGCAGCAGCTCTCCTGGTGTCATTGGCACCAATGACCCCGGACATGGAGCCAGGCTGCTTCTATGACCCTGGCCTGAGCTGTGCACTGGAGCATGCCCCTTGGCTTTTAGACAGTTGCACTTAAGTTTGCACCTCAGCTTGCCTGCAGCGCATTCTGAGAATTCTCATAGGCCCAACAGGAGCAGGCTGGTGCCACTGGAGGGCAGCAGCTTCAGCGTGCAGACAGCCTGCACTTCTGCTGCGGCTTGCACTTCCAAGCACTGTCCGAGCACCTCCCCTATGGTGGAATATCCTGGTCCAAGCACGGCCCCACCTGGCAGGGAAGGGCAGTGAAAAGGAAGATGCTCCTGCTGGTGCCCAGAACCTCTGCTTTAATACTTTTGGTGTTTTGTCATGTCAACTGCTTTATTGTCAAAAAGTAGCTTCTTTTAAAATGTAGGCACCTGGAAGGTGATCTTGTATACCTGGAATTGCTCAGCTAAGGGGTCACACAGTACCTCTCTTTTGAAATCAAGATGATTGGAAGCAGCCATCGGTCTTGATTGTTAAAAGCTATCATCATGAAACAAAAGAAAAGCAACTTGATCTTGGAAATCGTCCATTTACTGAAATAAAATATCCTGAGTAAACACGGAGGTAAATGTATGTGAAATCATGACCTTTTTTTTTTTCTTTCCAGTTCAGAGTTATTACAGAGTCTTGGGGAATGTAACCCAAGTAGTATAGCATTAACATTGTATTAACATACCATGCTACATGTGTAATGCCTTGGAAGGTGCCAGTGAGGCACCCGGGCGGCCCTTTGTTCTGCGGAAATCTTGGGATGTTTCTGAGTGGATATAATTGCTAGAATGACATAGTATTTCCTAGGCACAAAGAGACTTTAAATAAGCCAGCACACGTATTTAGCCATTAGAGAAGAAGGAAATCAAAATAATCTTTAGAATAAAAACAGCATGTGAAGTTGCTTGGCATGAGCAGGATACAGCTGGCTTCCCAAGTAGCGTCTGCCTGGAGGGACTCACTGCTGGCACCAGCTGGGCAGACACAGAAGCAAGGAACTGGTGCTTCAAGTCTCCAGGTGACTGCTAATATTCATGAGTGAAGGTGCTTCCCCCCCCCCCCCCCCCCAAAAAAAAAGGCAGTTTGGGAAGATTTTAATGCAGAAATATGAAGAACTGCAACCTGTCAGAAGACTTCCTCATAAGACTGGATCGACATTAGAACATAACATTTTTAAAAATACACATTTTGCTATAATCTCAAGGCAAATACTTTTGAAAACACAGATCCATGTTTCCCTATGACTAAAACTTGCTCTCGCTGATTTCCAGGCTGCAGCCTAGACTGAACAGAAAATATCTCATTTTTTCACAGCAGAATCAAACCTTAATTTCCCCTGGGCATCAAGTTGTGGCTGGTCTGGGAAAAGGGTCAAGGACAGCTTCTGTTCCTCTATATAACAGAGTATCTCCAGGAGAGCATTGCAAATGAGTAGCAGAGGAAAAAGGAGATTCAGAAGGCAATGGTTTGATGCAGCAGCCTTTTAATGTGAATGCAGAGTGGAGTAAACATTTGCAGAAAGAATAATGAAGTCTAGAAAAGCACATATTTCTAGAAACAAGGAAAGCTAGAACCAGTTACCCATTCCAGTGTGGTGCATTTCATCAAGATGTTCTTTTTCCTCATTTTTGCTGAGTGTGACATTCAAATCCCTAGGTGTGCTTTTTTGTTTGTTTAAATCACAAAGTCAAACTGTGTAGAGGAAGTTAAAGGCACAGATGTAAGATGCAAAGCCACAAGAATAAAGAAAGCATTAATCTAAGCTAAAGCACTATACAGGAATTAGAAGCAAGGTCCTGATTTTGGGGTGCTTCCCCCTGTAGTAGGAAGAACCTTGAAAGCCATGCCTGTAAATGACGATCCGTATTCGTTCACTCCTTTGCTTGCTGTTTTCCTGTGATTGTTTTCTGGGGTAAGCTGATTAGAGCTTCTTGCAGAAGGCTCTCTGGCATGGATGCTTCCACTGGGTGGAATAAGTGTAGGAGCGCTCTGGCACGCACTGGGGCACGCACTGTGGCTCACACTGGGGCACACACTGGGGCACGCACTGGGGCACGCACGGAGGTGGACACGGAGGTGGACACGGAGGTGGACAGGGGGGTGGACACGGTGCCACGCACGGGGCCTCACACTTTGTCACAAGCTTTGTGGCACAGGGCTCAGCGCAGGGCAATGCGCACTCAGCCCCCTTCTGCGCTGAGCCGATGGCTACACCTGACTCCAGAGCGCTGGCCAGCTCGGCTGACTCCGTGGAGCCCACGATGGTCTCTTGTGGGTAGGTGGTGAGGATGGGCCCTGGGATGGTGACGACCACAGGTGGTGGGAAGATGATGACACGGGAGTCAGGGCAGGAGATGACGCAGGGCTCACTGCAGGCAGCAGCGCAGGGCTCGGGGCCTTTCACATTGCCTACAGCAGCACATGGCTCTGTGCACAGGGTTTTCTCACAAGACATCGTTTAGCTGTGCTGTAGACCTGCAAGAAAGGAGCAAATATCACCTTGAAGAGCCAACAGGGCAAGGTCGATGCTGAAGCTGAGCAAGTGTTAACCCCGAAGAGACACCGTGGGTTCTTTTGCTTTCAAACTAAATCAAAGAGTGGAGAAATAATTTGGAAACATAAAACTATATTTTGAGCTGTCATTTCAAGCTTATGAAAATGCCCAATCAAAGGGCCAAATAAAGGAGGAAGGCAGTCTGTTGTTTGAGATTGAACGGAGTACTCTTTTTTTAGCCAAAATGATTACCTTTTCTTTTTTTTTTTTCTCTAGCTCAGCAGTATATTAGAAAAGCCTAGGTGGGGTTCAATTTGACTCAAGCTATTTTTCTTGGATTTTGTTTGTTTGTTTTTTGTTTTAGACACAATGCCAAAATAGACATTATTCACCTAAGCTTCTCCTGGCCCTTAAGCCCTAATCCAGGTATCTTCAGGCTCCCACCCTTTCAAGCTGCTTCATTTTATCAATCCAGTGCTCTTCAACTGACCTGCAACTCCCTCAGCAGAATCAAAACCATGGGAAATGAATGCCTAAGAAATCCATACATACAGTACGAAACATATATATAGGTTAATATATGCTTTCACAGCCTGTTGAATGCTTTGCATAAGAGCATTTTCTTGCATAAATAGTAGAAAAACACCCAAAGCAACTCCCGGAGAAATGTACACCTTAAGTAGACATTCACGTTTTTTCCCATTTCTTCTGCAGATCTGCATTTAGCAATGCTAAAATATTGTCCTGGGCTATTCAGGACAAGTGCCCAAAGAGGGTCTCAGGTGCAGCATTCCCAAATTCAGACCAGGAGCTCTGCAGGGCCACATCCACAGACACGCGGTGTCCTGAGGGCTGCCTCTGCTCCGAGGGGTGACTGCAGCCATCTCACCATCTCACTGTTTGTATTGCCTATCTCAATATTCACCCATCTTGTCTCTGCCCAAGGTAAGATAACAATCAGTAGCCATGAGGTCTGAAAAACGCTGCCAGATGTGTACTGCTTGCTAAAATAAACTATGGCTCCCCAAAGGCCTTATACATTAAATCTCTATATGACAAAAGTAGATTTCTTTAATTTTATCCAGATTTCAAATGTATTTTAAAGCCTCAGCCCATTGCCGCCTTCAAATGAATAACAAGCAAATGAATTTCTTATGAAAATAAATTCCTGACAATCATACAAAATTGCACAATATTAATCCAAAATTCAACCCCAGAATTCACCCAGATATTTCAATAAATGCTGATCTTTTGGGGTTTTTTTGTTTGTTTTTGCTTTTGTTTTCTTTTTAGAAAGAAGAAATTATATCAGAATCCAACTTACTCTGTTCACCGAGGAGAAGTCACGAGAACCTGCTGGAAGGTGTCTGAATCATGGGTGGTTTTATATACCGTCCTGGACCACCAGGCTGATGCAAGAAAATAACGTCATATTTGTGCATTAGGTTCCATTACTCCCCAAACAAAATTTGACGTGTAATTACAGTAATTGTTTTGCTTGCTGTTTGTGTTGATTACCCTATTCTAACCAGCATGTGACTTCAACAGTCCCATCCCCAGATTCCTTTCATTTCAGGATTTTAAGCATCAAACCCCTTCTTGAAGCCCTGAGAGCATGAAGGCAGCCTATAGCAGTAAGCCCTGGCTTGCACACAACCCCAGCCATGCTGCAGCAACTCAGAGCCTCTGTGGGACTCCATTCCTTTAGAAAACAGGGGTTTGTTTTCCTTCCCTAAGCATCTTGACCTCCAAGAATGCATAAGAGCCTAACCTAATATTAGCAGTAAGTGTGCTTGCTAGTTTGAAGCTAGTTAGGGCATGTTTACAGAAACTGTAGTCACTGTATGAGTGTAGTGTCCAGGATTGCCTTGGAGAGACACTCCTGGGGCTGAGCTTTGCTTGTAGTCGCTCCTCACTTCATGTCTGAGTCTCTTCCAAGCAGGGATGCATTACTATGCAAGGGCTTGGTGTGGCAGCAGCCTCAGCCAAACGCAGGAAGAAACATGAAGGGAGAAAGCTCTCTTTGGTGACAGCAGGATCTAGGAACTGCTCAGTCTGGTTTGGATTAAATCACTGTCTCTCCAGTCACTTCTCCAGTGGTTATGGTCAGAAATATTCCTAAATATGGAGACCTGAGTGTGCCTGACCTGAATAAGGGAGCAGAGCTCTGGCAAAGCAAGCAAGGCTGGAACATCCCCATTTACCATGCAGGCTGGCCAGGGAAAAGAGCACCACTGCTTTATTTAAGATTGCTCAGAAAGGCTTTGGTGATTCAGAGTTACCAGTTTGTGCCCAGTCTGACCTGCTGTGATGAACAGCATCTCCCTGTGTTTGAGGCACAGATCCTGCCCCCTCAGATGGCATAATAATATTTAATTTTGTAAATATGCCCTGTTTTGGAAAGGTGAATATTTGGCCAACATATTTTAAATAGTATGATTAGGCTAACAAATGCAGAGCTGGCTTTTAATCGAAAAGCAAAACAAAACAAAGAGATCCAAATTCCCAAGGTGCTTATCATTGCTTGAATCAGAGAATCACATGGGTGGCCCTGGCATATATATTTTAAAGTGACGCTATGATTCAATACTGTGGAGTTTTATACTGGCAGCCTGTTATTAACCTCCTAACACCACAACACTTTGCATGTATAAAACATTAGTGGGTGTTTGCAAAACTGTCTGAAAGCATTTCCTCAGAACATTTCCAATAAGTGCTCTTGCCTACAGGATCCTCTGAAATCCCTTTGCTTCCAAGAGATAATTGATAGCACAGAAGTTGCAACATCACCAATAAAGGAAAATGCGTACATATGGGTACTGGGAGGGGGGAAAAGGGGGAAGGTTAGGAACCCAGAAACTATTCAGTGTACACAAACACCCTTTGCTTGGACGAACCCAAGAGCATGGTGACAATCAGAATTATTCTTACCCAGAGAGAGCTGCAGCTGCAGCTTTTACCAACTGTTCTGGAGCTGTTCAGGGGAGATGAGATGTGATGCTGAGAGAGGATTTCAATGGTTTCTGCCCAGGCACAGCCTGACATTTCAGCTTCTGGCACCTTCAGAAAGCAGAGCCTGGCACCGCCCAGTTCCTTCCCTTAGTTCTGAGCCCACCTCCTGCACTTTGCTGGTGCTCAGCCCACTTGGCAGCCTCCTCCTGGGGCTTTCACCAATGCCCATGACCTCAGGACCCCTCCAGCCCTCAGCCTCAGTCTCTTACCCTCAGCCTTCTGCCCACAACCTCAGGGCCCCTTCAGCCTCAGCCTCCAATCCTTCAGCCTCAGCCTCCAGCCCTCTGTCTCAGGACCCCTCCAGCCCACAGCCTCTTACCCTCAGCCTCCAGCCCTCAGCTCCAGCATCTTGCTCTCAGCCTCCTGCCCTCAGCCTAGGACTCCTCCAGCCTCAGCCTCAGCCTCAGCCTCAGCTTCAGCCTCAGCTTCAGCCTCCCTTCCCACAGAACCCACAGCAGGAGCAGGTCTGCATCAGCCTCCTTCGACTACCTGAGCTCCGGGAGCAACTCTAGAGGGAGCACCTGAGCCCAGCTCTCACATCCACACATGCATTTATTCTCCTGATGATACCTGTTTGCATTTTTACAGGCAGTGATGAGGAGGTAGGCGTGCAGACACCACTGGGAGAGGATTTTTGGAGAACTCAGAAACTAGAGAAGTAACAAGTGTGGTTATGAACAGGCAAACTACATGGATGTGAAATGCTTGAGGAGGAGAACATCTTTCAGAATCTGCTGTGCAAACCAAAGGGCTCAAAAAAAAAAAAAAAAAAAAGATCGTTTTGGAAAAAAAAATGTGCAATTGTATGAAGCAGCTACAGAAAGAGAACTGCTGAGGTTTCTCATCCCCTGAATTATCTCTGGAAAAGGTTTGACAGAGCTGCTCTCAGCAGTGTCCCAGCCCTGGGATATCGTTGTCTCGTGTATGTCAGCACCTCACTGCTTCTGCAGCTGGGAGTTCTTTCCCCTTCAAATTGATTTTGCTCTTCTTTGTTGCAATGTAAGCCAATGACTTAATCTCCTATTATCCCACTGGATATAAAAGGGTTTTTACTTCCTTTCTCCTTGAAGAAATGTTGTACAATTTCATATCCCTTTGTGTGAGCCCCTCTACAATAAGTAAATCAAAGGTGCTGGATAGTTTCTGTGAAATAAGATCAAGAATAGATGCAAATAAATGTGGGCAAAGGGGAGATCTCTCCAAATAGGCTGTGATTAGAGAAGGAAGAACATGCAAATAAATCATTATAACTACAATTAGCAATTGAAATAATTTGGCAGGGATGAATGATTCCCAAAAGATTTTAAATCGAAAGTGGGAAATTATGGAGTAGATTTAAAGTACTGGGTAATATTTTCTGGTTTAAATAGTCCAGAAGTTCCTTCTGGCACAAAAGCATAGTGAGCAGAGTGGCATGACCAGATTCATAAGGATGAGTCATTTTATTATGGGAAAGTATCCACATAGGAATTAAGCGGCACATGGAGCACTTAGTTAAGGCAGAGCCCAAGGGCAGACATGCACACAGATCCCAATATCCAGAAATTCTTTAGAAAAATCAAAAACCAAAGCCTTTCATATCAACAAAATATTACATTATAATTGATTTAAACAGGTGTTGCAGGTTCCTATTCTCAAAAGGAACATGGCTGTCACTAGGCTGTATTTCTAGGAAGGCACTGGTTGATTTACCTTTTTGATTCTATGCTACATGACTTTACCACAAACACCAAAGGATCTGGTGTAAGATTTATCAATCTTACCCATCAACCATAACACTTTGGTGTTTATTACACCAAAGGGGTTGGATTCTCATTTGGAACACTTGTAGATCTTCTGAATTACTCAAAAGGTGACTTGAAAACACAGATTAAGAGGAAAAAAAAATAGAGAGAGTTGAGTTTGAATGCAAAATAGTTTTAATGACAGGGAAGTACAGTGCACATTTGGTGAAGGTGGTCACAAAGCACACAGGACGTTTCCCTGCAAGCTCAGTGCAGCCCAGAAATGGGAGACATTGGCTTTTCAGAAGTAACCACAGCTTCCACCACCAGACCTGCGGGACCCAGAGGAGCCGAGGCCTCCATAGCAGCTCGCTATGCCAAAGGAGCGCCCTCCCCCAGAGGAGCCACCGCCGTAGGAGCTGCCTCCTCCAAAGCCACCTCCGTAGCAGCTCCTGGAGCTGATGGATCTTCTGCCTCCAAATGAGCCCCCGGATCCAAATGACCTGCCCCCTCCATAGGAGCCCCCTATGCCCCCTCCATAGGAACCCCCTACGCCCCCTCCGTAGGAGCTGCCTCCTCCATAGGAGCCACCAGAACCAAAAGAGCCCCCAGATTCACTGGGGCCCAGTGACCCTGAGAAGCCTCCAATGGGTGATGGGAATGAAGAGCCCACAATGGTCTCCTGTGGGAAGGAGGTGAGGGTGGGGCCTGGGAAGGTGATGACCACAGGTGGAGCGTAGACGAGGGCACGGGAGTCCCCACAGGAGGCGACGCAGGGCTGGCTGGAGACATCAGCATAGGGCTGCGGGCAGGCCACCTCACAGGGTGCGGAGCATCTGCTGCTCATCATCTGTCCTCCTGAAGACATCTTTTGTGATGCAGATATACCTGCAACAGTGAGTAAGGAGTTAAAATAAAACATATGTGCATCTCTGTGCTCTCGTACCAGACTTGTGATGACACAAACTGTGTGCTTCCTATAGAATGAATTATTTTCTTACAGTATGAGACTATTTTCTTACTGTATTCTTCTTATCTTCTGTCCAAACTGAAATATTATTGCTCAGTATGGCTAAGTCTAAACAATACAGATCCTACAGCAACTTCTCTTGCAGTCTGATGTAGCAGCCAGTAAGGAATAAATCTTTCCAAAGTACCTTCCTCCTGCCTTGGTTCTGAACCAGTGTTTGTTCTGATCTGTATTCCACCACTGATCAGTTCTGCTAGAGACCTATTTCTGCCTCAATGTTGTCAATTAATGGGTTATTTTGGAAACAGATTTGTCAGACTGTGTAGTTACAAAGCAAAAATCAACTGAGGTTATGTCTTCTGCATTAATATATACACATCTCTTAATAACTGCCGAGTTCCAAGTTGTAACCTCCTTATCAAATTAAGGGGACTTAACTGACCCCTTCCCTTTGTAGTTTGGATGAACACAGCCTCACATTTTAAGACCACTTATCTACCGTTGGCTACAGCTGAATGGCTACAAATATCCTAATATTTAACAAAACCAACATTTCTGAACATCACAGAGAACTGACACAGAGTTCATTCCCCAGTTAAACAGCAATAGAAACATCTCAGTAACTGTAAAGGAAGTTAGGGAGAAATACTTACCAGGCTCACAGAGAAAACCTGATGAAGTGAAGTCGTTGGTGAACCTGGAAGAAATGCAGTGCTTTTATACAGTCCTTCCAACTGCTAGCAGGATACGCAACACACTCCCGCACATGGGGCATAGTAGTTAGCCAGCAAAGCATTTTGCTGTATAAGCTACTTCTAATTGTAATAATTGTTTTGATAACTGATAATGGCTAGTAAATCAGCCCCGCATCATTCTATATACTCAACACGCCCTTTGTCTTACTGTAATACCTAAATGGTTTTTTTTCTATTCGTTTTTATGACTAGTGCCATCTCCTGACCTCATTTGAAATGCAGTGGCAATGAATTGAGCCCTGTTTGCTGACCAATGTAAAGGCATCAGTCTTCAGGACGACAAAGACACGAGTTTTGCTTTGTGAGGGGAAACATTTTCTGTTCTGCAGAAGGTTCTGTTGAAATTAAGAATTGCAAATAATTGGGAGAGTTGCGAATTTCATCCCTGCAGCTCCTCAGATGGGGCAGGTCAGTTCTATCTAACATCCACCCAAATAACTGCTTACAGAGGACCTTCGTCAAACGTACACTGTCATCCAATTAACTACAAGGAAGCACTGCGTGAGAACATTTAATGCTTTTATTGCTCTCCTTCTTTTGTCACCTTCAAGGAGAGCTGTGATGGTTTAGCAAGACTGACGTTCTTCAGGAGGCATCACTAAGGGAACAAATAAAGACTTTTTGGGCATGGAATGGATGCATGCGGAGTGCGCCTAAAGGTGGTTTACAATAAAACAACTGTAAGAGTCTTAAGAATGGAAAGAGACTTAGGAGACAAATACCCCAGCAGTATTTCTGGAATAGTGTTTGGAAGTCTCATGTACCAAAAGACAGGGCTAAGAGTTCTTAAATAGAAAGAGATCTCTCCATGCAAAACCTCCTTTACCAATAACCAGGGGGAGATGATCAGATGTGAACAACCTTTTTGTGGGTTGTAACAAGCATCAGGTGGACAGATGACAGCAGTATCAAACATCCAACTTCAGTGCTTTGTTGCTGAGTCCAAATAATCTGAAGTAATTGTCGACTTTGGCTCTCAGTCACAGCTATGGGAAGAGAGCAACCACAGATGATCTGAAACGAATTGGTTTGGTTTCCAGCCTGTTCCAGTTGTCACACTGTACTTAATGTTTCCCTCACAGGTTTCCTGTGTTTTCATACACCATTAGAAAATAGAGCACGAAGAGCTTACACAGTTAAAACCTTGCATCAGAATGCAAACGAGTTCTGTCAGGCATCAGTGGGCAGCTCATGATGTGACAGTTTTTGCTAGTCAGCAGTTCTTCGTTGGCTGCTCAGTTAATGTCAATCGTCTACAGTTGAGAAATACCAATTTACATGGAGGACCCTGGGCACTGCCTTCTGCTTCTTCCCACCACAGGTGAGTGGCAGCATTCTGTTTGTCACCCAACTGTTACTACCCCAATTTTGAAGAAGAGAAATGGAATATTATGCACAAAAGCAGTTTATCAGCTGGATAGAGTCCTTACAAAGAATTATAGCACCATTCCCATTTCAATTTCGGTGAGGGCCGGGAATAGTATCAGCTGCTATGTGAATCTGTCATGGTCAGAGAATAAGCTAAAACTCATTATGCTTGTAAAATGCTTGTAACGTGACTTGGAGTTGAGAATAAAGTTGTGATCACATCACTTAAGAGAACAATTAGAA